GTAGAAGAACATATGCTGCTTTCGTTAAAACGGCAAGAAAGGAAGGATGGAGTGCAGCAGAAAGTAACCGTTTGGGTCCCAACCCCGAACGTGCCACGAAAGGTGCAAGCGTGTACGTCCCGCCAATGAACGGCAAAGACCTATCGGGCCTAAGTGTAGAGGAACAACAACCCTCGAACCATTAAAGAGGGAGGCGCAGGCTAAGTAGCGCGAAAATCCAGGCTTGCTGGGTAATTGAAAGCTGGCACGTGGCGTGCCACTTTCACTGGTATGCCTTCAACATAAGCAATTAGTACCCTTCCGAACCATGCTCCGCCACTTTCAAACGAAAGATAAAATGAATGACAGACGCTGCTCTAACAGCTGCGAGCCGTCACCTCGCAATGGCTTAGATTCATCATCTAATATCTCGGAGGAGAGTGTACAGGGTACCGCTTGAGAACTTGCATGAGTCGAGCAAGTAAAAAGTCTAATCAAGAAGCTATAAAGTGGGTTAATCGTTTATTCCAATAACTGCTGTATGCATGTAAGAGTACACTGTGAAATGCGTGAGGATTCATCGAATTTAATGGTGTGTGCTTTAGGGATGGACGAAAGGTGTCTCGGCCGAACCGCCTCGACATATCGCAAATGTCGTTGAACAACGACATGAAGCAGACAGTAGAGCTGGTGGGTGAGAGCTCGCTGGATATCCTGGGCGATCTGGCGGAGGAGGCCGCCCGAAATCGCCAATGCTTCTCACTCCGACATGCGGTCGAGTACTTTTTCCTCAATCGCAACGTTTGCCTAACGGTTTCGTAATTGGTGCGATTAATGTGTACGGATAGAATTAGTCTGAGAACTCTCCACTATGTCAACCATCACGACGCACATCGCAGTGAAGTTGAGGGCTTGACAAGTGCCAGAAAAGATGAAAGATACTCAAAGAACACGCAATAGTGTTGATTTACGGCGATGGAAAGAAGAAGCCAGAGAACAGTTGAAAAAACGAGAAGAGAAGTGAGGGCAGCTGTCCTATAACTCATGCACAATATCTATTTAGGGTAAACGATTACTGATTTCTGCTTCACTTATCATAATGATCTTGCGATCTGAATAGTGGGAGCCTTCGCTTCCCCCTTGCCTCCCCCCCTCCCCCCCCCTCCCCGCTCGGCTCATAGCCGGAGGGTCGTCCTTGTTCACCAGTTTTTAGATTAAAACTTGGACTTTGGAAGCTTGAGCGGTCAAGTGCACGCGATGAATGCGGGCAAAAATCCATGAGAAGGGTAGTCGTGTACCCAGTGAAGTAGCTATCACTGAAGCCAGAGGGGCGTGTTTTGCGGCCGCCAGGTGTAATGGCCGCAGCGCCAGTCGCCTTTTCCGTCTCCACTGAACCCTGGAGGCCGCAACCATCGATGGAAATCAGAAAAAGGAAAAGATGGCGCCTGCTGAAACCATGGCCACTTGTTGACACGCCCCTCCTTGTCCTCGAGAGATGACGAGTTTTAACAGTTGGGAATGGCAATGCTGTTTCTTTTAGATTTCACAGCGGGAAACCTGATAGAAGCTGCTTTCAGAATATTTTCAAGTAAACAATCGCGATACACCGTTCTTTTGTTGATTTTCTGGCAAGCAGGGTTGCTCAGAAAAGGATTGGTTGCGCAGTGACTCGAATCCCACCTTCACATGAAGGTGGGATCGAATTAGTTACCAGGTCTCCCAAACCTCACCACAGACGTACATACTTCCTATCGTACACATTATAGTAAAGCAGAATTCGCGGCATCGCACTTCATGTCTGTGGCGGGTGGAGGGTTAAGGAGAAGCGCTATAAACAATAAAAAAAAAAACAAAAAAAAAAAAAAAAAAAAAAAAAAAAAAAACATATTAAGTATAACGGTACTGCTTCACCTGCCGACCTGCTGTAGCTTTATAAGAAAAGAAAGCTTAGGGCAGAAGCTAAGGCTCTCCTGATCCAGGAAATACTTGTAGGTAGACGTATTCGGGATGAATGCACATTGTGTTACTTTTTACATTTTGATGGCTTTAATAATTTGTTATAGATCGAATTTGTATTCTATTTTTTAATTTTAGAAGTGCAGCTTCACTGTCACAATTAATATATTGCAGTAGTATCTCTTGATGTATGTATACTTGGACAATAATGTGCATTATATAATGTATCCGTACGATTTACGTAGTGTAACCAGTTCACAATTAATATACAGCTGTTTTTGCTGCTGAAGTTGGAGCGCGTCAGGGGGGGGGCTGAGTTTGGCGCTGCACCAGCCAGTTCTCCGCCATTTTCTGAAGCAAGTAAACGACAATAATTGGTGGCTGACCTCGCGGCAAACCCAACCCCTCCTCGTGACATGCCCAGTGTGTGGAGAATCTTGGTGAGCTTTATCACCTCACTTTAAGCTAATGATAATATTAATTTTTTTTGATACTTGATGGGAGCTTTAGTGCTTTCTCGATGAGAAATTCGTTTATAAAAAATAGCACACTAAGGCGCCTTCCTCGTTATTCAAGAGTTGAGGGATTGTGATGCTATTCATTGTACCTCCGAATGTTAGTTGTGACTGTTCCAATATTTCTGGTCACTTTTTCAACCTACGAGGGTTTTGACCATTCTTCAACATTTCGAAATCTCACTTTTGAACTTATCGATTCCGAATAATGTGTTTTATTATATTTTCACAAGTATGAAGAATTTATGGATTTAAATGTTCAAGATGCATTTGAGGTTGAGGCTCGTTAAGATAGACTTGACAATTCTTCCGAGGCAGCACGCAAGCGAATATTACACTAGCGAGGTTGCCGGAGGAGCAGACTGCTGCACTTGACGGGTAACCCTTTGATTGGCAGACTCGCACATGAGTCACCCTCGCAACAGGCAGGCTACGGTCCAGAGTATCATCTTCACCGCAGACGCGAAGGCATGGGTTGATGGTATGGTTCGGAAGTTCCGGGAATGAGAAGACCATATCTTCTTCGTAGACACCGGACTGGGAGTGAAGCGCTGACCTGTTTTATGACGTCGTCGCCTTTAGGCGGCTTCTGAGAAATTTCTGGACTGATAGCAGGTATTGGGTGCCAGGCATAATAAATTCGAAAGAACTATTGAAAAACACTCTACTACTTGAAATCGAAAGGCGTTTGAGAACCTGATGAACGAGCGGAATATGCCAAGTGTGTTCCGGACCCAAAACGTCTTGCACGCGGGATACGAGAGGTAGGCCTTCAACAGTGTTGGTCCATAGTAGGGAGTATGCATACGACTCTCGCTGAATCAGTGCGCACCGACACGCTGAATGGCAGAATCTCTCTCGATGTCGTTCGTTCAGAAGGCGAAGGATCGTGATAGTGTACAATGTGCTGTTGAATATGATGGTGAAAATGTCTAATAAGAATATAATGACGTGCAACTCATGTCGCCCTGAAAGTTGAGGAAGAAAAGTGGGTTTTTTTGCCCCTCCCCTTTTCCGGAGAAGACAAGAGCGCGGCTGCGAATACCATGCGGCGATATGCCGCTTGTTAATTAATATAGCTGGCCAGCTCTGGGGCTAATCGCAATGACGGTGTCCTTGTCCATTACAAGGCCCGTTGACAGTTGTCCTATAATGTCTCAGAAACTCATGCTACGTTCAGGTGAAGTGGCCACGATTGCTAACACCATTGGGTCGGGGTGTATATACGCTGGCTCGGAGCGTTTACTGTTGCGGAATGCGGCGTAACGTCTCCACTTGGAACATAGAGTCGATTACGCCGCGCGCAGTCATTATGTTGCTCCGTATGTGTTCCATGAGCTCACCATTTCGTTGGGAAAACAACGAGGGAGACGTAACTTGCCCGCTGGAGAGGTCGTTGTCTCCCAGGAAAAAAATTCTTGTGATTTTTGGCTTTCGCGGCGGATCATTATTATTGTGCTGCGCCCTTTTTTTCCGACGCGATCAGCCGCATACATGCGCTATCTCTGTACATTGATCGTGTACGGCTGGCCCTTCGTCCTTTACCGCGGAGGCAATTTTCGAAAAGCTGACTAAAACGGCTCAGTAGATAGGTAAAGAAATGGTCATACAAGAGTACTCGCGAAGTAAGAGGGGTCGTATTTTGCAGATATTTTCCACCAACATCGATTTTTTTCCACAACATGATGTGAGCAACCGCACTGCACAACTGCTAAAGCACAGAATTATGCAATTTAATGTACGGTGTGTAGTTGTACGGTGCGGTTGCACACGCCGCAATTTCACGACGCCTAATCCAGCTGTTTGCTACCCTCCTACTTCCCCATACTCTCTACTCCCGGTCGCTGGTGAACGCTGGTGGACGCTGGTAGACGCTGGCAGACGCTAGATCGATATCTATACTTTCCTAGTCGCTGACGCTACCAGACGCTCGGAACGCTGGTGGTCGCTGATGGACGCTGCCGCAAAGTATGAACGCAGCCTTACACGCTTTCAACGCCTATTTCCATGACTAAAAGTAACGTTCCAAAGTCGTATGTGCTGTTCCATATAGGTGAAAGGTGAACAGACTGCAATTCATTTGCTATCATATAGCGAACTTTATCGGAACTCTCGCATGTACAAGTGATATTCAGAGGATCTGTTATATGTACAAGGATAAATGCGAGCAGAACATCATCACTGGTCATTGCAACATAGGGAAATTTTAAAACAAGCACTGACAAATCAATAACAACAAAGAGATTGTACGATAACACAATCAATAATGAGAACTGAGACCCATGTTGAGTGTGTGCGTTACGTACTGATGGGACAAATTTAGAGCAAGTAGCACGGATATCATTCAAGAGGCTAACGGGTAAAGACTAACTGAACTCTATCTACTGATGTAAGGCTATAGTTTAAGCTAAATTAAAGCAATGGTCAAATAATGGTACATGAAATTGGCGTCTTCATTAAAAAGATATGATTAGGCGAGAATACGCAGGAACGTTTAGAAGTCTACTAATAGCTGGAAATCATGGAGCAAAAAGGCAAAGTTAGGGAAGTTTATGGCGACGAACGGTGAGACGAACCGTCGGATGTTGCTTGATCAGTTGGTATAGCCTCCTCATGAGTGAGACCTTTTGTATCACGACCGTTTATTGAAATTAATTGATCTCCGACCTAAAAAGCTTTCGGTTCTGTCAGTTCTACAAAATTTGCAACATTCCTACATGAAGCACTGTTTATAGGGGGTTACGTGACAACTAAAACTTTTGGTGGGGGTCCTGCTGCGAAAGGCCAGAGTGCAGAGAAGTAAAGAACGGCGGCCGCTAAGGCATTGAGAGTACCAACCAGTCAGGTGACGATTCTTCTTAAAGGGAGAGGACATCGGTGTGGAAGATCCTTATTATGCGTGAAAAGTTAGAATGTGAAAGGTCAGAGCAGTCACAGAACGCCATGCAGACGTGAGAGCGCAGAGAAGGCAGAAATTCGGCGCCATTGAAGGGATTGAGTTTTAGTTGTCCGTGAACCTTTATGGGTGAAGCATGGGGCACATTTTGCAAAAAAAGTAAAGCCGTCCAGCCATCATGGATTTTTGCAAGGGCACGTTCTACAGCTCAGAATATTTTTTAGACACGAC